CAGTGTGATACCTAGATTGTAAGTAAAGAATGTGTCCACATGTCAGTCTAGTAGTCCAGCCCTCACCAGTCCTCAGACCACCAGTGTGTTGATATACCTAGATTGTAAGTAAAGAATGTGTCCACATGTCAGTCTAGTAGTCCAGCCCTCACCAGTCCTCAGACCACCAGTGTGTTGATATACCTAGATTGTGAGTATAGAGTGTGTACACATGTCAGTCTAGTAGTCCAGCCCTCACCAGTCCTCAGACCACCAGTGTGTTGATATACCTAGATTGTAAGTAAAGAATGTGTCCACATGTCAGTCTAGTTGCCCAGCCCTCACCAGTCCTCAGACCATACTTACCATAACAAGAAAAAGTGTAGTGTATCAAATTCATGGCCTGCAACCCGTTAATTACAAAATTATTGCCCTTTGTTAAAATTTTGGGGAACTTTCACTTTTTTATGATGGTATTTATATAATTTGCTTATAATCTGCAATTGTAATATGTATATGAATCTTTTGACAAACATTCATTTATATTTATTGATTTGATAAGGTATACTTACATGTACATCATTTGCATATGATCAATTCATTGCAATATTTAATTGAATCTTTTTGTTGACAAACATACTTCTGTACAGCAAAAACAATTCACATATTTAAGGCATTTTAATGTAATTAGCAATCATGTAAATGTTTTATAGAATATTCTTTGAAATCAAATTATTCATCCGCTTCCTTACATAATTGTATATATTTATAGTATATAATGAACGTCTCTATGGGATTTACCATATCATTATATATTAGTGGCTAATTGGTTTCATGAGATAGGTAAGGGTGTCAGGAGACATGATAGTAACACATATAAAACCAGTTCTAATAAAGAAAATGATGTATCAGGGACGAGAAAAAAAATAGGACAAAAGAAGTTTTCTGTTTTTTTCTCATGTTTAAGATGAATATTTATTGAAAAGTAAAACTACTTAAATGTTTCCCTTCATAACAGTATTGACCATGATCAGTTATGGTTAATCGATATAGATTATATTCGTATGAAATAGGGTCGGTCATCCATAACAGTCCAAACGAATTCCAACTAGTTACATGTATCAATTTAGCTATTTTCCAAGAACTTTAAACATTCTCACAATAAATCCAACACTCCATTACAGTGAACCCAATGCAGCCTAATATATTAATCAGGTGACAGTTTCACAATAACATTGATTTGATCCACATACACTTTCAGGTGTTAGATCAGTAACATCTTTCTTAATATTAGCTCTTGCTCCTCTATTACAGTGAAGCCGAGACAGCCTACTATATCTGGCCAGATGTCACAGACAGAGAACACAGATCTACAGGTAGTGTGTGAGTCTACAGGAAGTAGACCTGCGGCCGACATTGAGTGGAATGTTCGGGGAACATGGCAGTCAAGTAATCCAACAGAGATCAAGGTCGTGGACAGTGCTACAGAAACCTACACAATGACGTCAACACTCTCCCTCCAAGTCACACGTCCAGACAATGGGAAGTCTGTGTACTGTAGAGCCAGTAACCGGGCCTTACCTGGAGGGACTGAATCAGAACGACAGACTATAACAGTATTGTGTAAGTATGTCATCTTTTACAGAATCTCATGTGAGGACAGTAGCAAACCTCCCAGTCAAATGTTGTAGAAATACAAGAATAGTTTTTCGCAATAAAACATTTTTATTTCATTATGTAAATAATGTACAATGTGTTTGTGGTGATCTACTGTTTTCTAGCCGGACCAGACTTAGTGGGTTAAAATTAACCAAAAACAGAGTCATGTTGGTTTGCGCCAGCTGAGCTGATAATGACTAAAGTGCCTAAAGGCATGGTATTTGGCTGGTATATTTCTAGGATGAAGCTTTACAAGGTTTGCAAAAAAAATGACCTTGACTTAGACTTAAGATTACAGGAGTGAAATTTGTTAAAACATTGAAACTCTTGTTTTCATGAATTAACAGCCTAGATGCATGATATTTGGTTGGTATAAATATACAAGGTGAGTGTTACAGGCCCTTTGGGACTCTTGTTGACTTTTTGCATTTAAAATTATTACATATACAAAATAGTATCTAGTTGAAGGTTGGTGTTGACTTAGTCAAGTTTAAATATTTCATGTCCTGTTCTAGTTGGACCTGACAGTGTGGATATAACCGGGAACAGAGTTGTGGTGGCCGACAGTACCAATACTCTGACTTTGACCTGTAGAACACAGGAGTACAACAGATACGTACACATTACATGGTACAATGGTACATCCCAGATACCTAACACAGCAGTTGTCACCAACACATCAGGAAGTTACGGAGGTTTGATATCTACACAGGTCTTCCAACTCACACCTGACAGATACCAGGACGGTAACGTGATCAGATGTGTAGTCCAGAACGAGGATGTGACACTTGGAGAGAAATCAGCATCAGCTACACTTAACCTTAACTGTAAGTGTTGATATGATGAAATTTTTGTTGTTACCTTTGATGTATGTAATGTATATTTTGCTGTAGCTTGTCGCCTACTCTGCATTCAGTGAATAACACCTAGTATATAAGGTAGTTGTACACAGTTTCTCGGTCATGGATGATAGGTTTGATTATTAGATTGCCCTGATAAAGAGGTTTTCATTGAAATCTAAAAAAGTAAATCCTCAATTAATTTAGTATAGTGATGTTGATGTGGACAGTGTGGGGTTTCAATATTTTAGTAAAATATTTGGCACTGTCTTGGGGATCACTACATGGCAGTCCTGAATCTGTGTCTTCATAATAAAACCAGCTATAAAGGAAGTTATTTGTTAGTGTTTTTAGCGTTAATATTGTAAAGCAGTGCAGAGTTCCAATTTTACATTGAGAAAGCTGTAAGTGGTTATGAATATTTCAGACATGTTTAAAAAATGATTAAAGTAACCATGAAAATAACCTTAAGTACTTGAATTTACTTCGGTGTACTTAAACTGTATTAGTAACATACTTTCTTATACTTTAGTGTAATTCAACGTTCTTCCTGACGTACTTTAATGTAGTGATTGAAGTCTAACATTATAATTTACATTCACCAGACTCTAACAAATAAATACTTCCATTATTTTCAATAGTTTAACCTCCTTTAACTCTGAAATTTCTTAGTTAATTCTCAGCTGGTTAGGCTCGGCAATTAAATGCATGTGTGACCAAGGCTTAAATGGCCATGTGTAATAAATGTTAGCCCAGCTTTGATATGCTGTAGGTTCTAGTTGGTTTTATTGTCAATAACAGTCACAAGCATTGTTCTATCATCAAAATAAGGGGAATGAAGTAAGAGAAAAAGTAGTATGTTTTAGCTCACCTGTCTCGAAGGGTCAGGTGTGCTTATGGCACACTGCGACGTCCGTCCTTCCGTCCAAATTTTTCATATAAATAACTACTAATCATTGACAACTTTTGGAGACAATTGAGATTTTGACCAAAAATAATCTGAAGCATTGTTGGCTGAAGGGAAATTAATTTTGCATACAGCGGGTCTCTGTTCCTTGGGTCATGAGTGGCAGGACAAAACAGTGGAAATAAAGCAAATTATTTAAAATCCTGCCTTTCCTGTAGGAATGATTGGATTTTGCCTGAAGATGTTCAAAGCCATTGTTGGGTGAAGGGAAATAAATTTTATATAAATCGCATGTTGTCTTGACCCCCTGGGGCTGGACGGACGGAGCTAAATCACAATAGGGGAAACAGCGTTAATTCTTTAAAATACCATTTCTCCTTTAGGAATGAATGTATGTTTCCCAAATTTAGATCAAAGTATCGGGGGTGAAGCAGAATCAGATGTGTATAAACAGTGGATTCTGGCACCGTAATATTGGAGAGTTGGGATCAATCCAGGAAATAGATCAAATTCCTTAAAATCCTACTTCTCCATTAGGAATGAATAAGTATTACCTTAATTTGGTCAGAAGTAATCTGATGAGGAACATTGTTTGTATAAGGATTGGTTCTTAGTTCCCAGAGGCCATAAGTGCAAAGCCGAAACCGGAAAATTTGCACGTTTTTAAAATCTTACTGCTCCTAAAAGAATAAATGGATTTTGCCAGAATTTGGTCTGACTATTCTTGGTGACGGGACTAAGTTCTGTATAAATGGTACATCCTTGCCATCAAAAAAAGGAATGAAGTGTCCCAATTGGGGAAATGTAAGTTCTTAAATGCCCTGCTTCCATAAAAGGATATTGCCCATGTTTAGTCTGAAGCAATTTTATGAATAGAGAATCTGACTCAGTTTGGGTACAAGGTCAGGACCCAATAGGGAAATTACATAGAAAAAATTCATATTTGATATTCTTTATTAAATGGCTGAATTTAGCAAGGTGAGCGATGCAGGCCTCTGGCTCTCTTGTTTCATATTTAAGATCATATGATTTGTTTGCAATAACGTGATGTAAATCTTTGTCTATCCACATGATAGATATCAGCTTTTCAAATAAGAACAAAGAGTTACCAACAACGAAATCATCAGGCATACAAAGACCACTGAAAATATTTCCCTTGATAAAAATTACTTGATATAAATGTCATTTTTTATGATTACTGGTGATAGACACTGGTGGTGTACTTTATAATATTTGTGTTACCTGCAATAATTCTGTTATTCTGTCATTCTAATAGTTTCACAGTTCAGTTTATACAAGTATATTTGATATTCTTATCTTGTCTTTTGTACAATCATCCTATTGCACAAAGATTGCACCATAAACAAAATCCTATAATCTTAATTTACCTGCATCTCTCAGGAGTCAGTGTCAATGTTTGTTCATCACTTTGCTTTATAATCGTGATTAAACATATTGTGGTATCATAGAAATATCCATCTCCATAGAGATATTGAAACTGTCACGTCTATACAGAGGTTGGTGGTTGAGGTAGAAGATTATGTTGTGTCTTTGATTTTAAGTTCTGGTGGGTAGATACAATTATTTTGTCATAGTTAACCAATGTTTAGACATCACTGATATATATTAACGTGGAAATGAAAGTGTTAGACAGGAACAGTTGTTCTCAGCTATTTAATGAATACTGACCGTGGTTACGTTTATCATTGTCCTTTACCTCTGTGTCGCTGGCTTAAGATATACATGAGATAGGTCGGTGGTTTTCTCTGAGGATTCGATCTTTCCTCCACCACCTCCAAATCTGGCGTGTCTTTAAATGATATGGCTGTTCATAGGATACATATCAACAATAAACTTAACTCCGACATATTCAGCCCCGATATGGTTGTCCATAATTATATATTACTGACTGTAGCAATTCTACAATAACTGATCTGCATGCATTGTTTTAATGAGAAGGTCTTAACATTGTACAAGGTTTACTTGCTAAAATACATATAGATACCCATTCCAAGCCATCTAAATATTCCTGTTCTCATGTTTATTTACACAATCAATATAAGAGTATGTGTGAAAGAGTCAGTATTGGAAAGTTTCTAAGTTGTATTTGCTCATCAGCTGGAATTATCTCCCTTTAACAAACGTAATGTAAACACGTCATTTATACTGAATGCTTTCAAATTACTGTTGAAAATTGATATTGGTTAAAGTCAATATCATTAGAATATACTATTAATCACTTGAAGTGGATTAAAATGGATATCAACATCATTTCTTTAATGTAAGTTGTTTCTTGACAACCAAATAGATTGTATAAAAATATGAAACTATACTGGTATCTCCATTCATGATAGTAAACTACTAGTTATGATATGAAGAAGCTGTAACCAACCAGTATTTAGGATGTATTATCATAGATCCCGAAATATTGTGAACTGAGGTCATAGACACGTTTTACATACAGTAATATTATATTTACTATTGGCTAGCCTGTAATAAGTATGATAGCGAAAAGCCCAAATCTGGTGTTAGCATTACTCTTTCATTAAACACCACTGCATGCCTAGAAAAGCATGATTCCAGGTAAATGAAACTCTGTGTGGGTATACGTATCTATGCATACAGCACAGACTAAAGTACTACACCTTCCGAAACACTGAGTTTTCATAAGGATACTGACAATAAAGATTAACAGTCAGCATTATGTAAGTTATATGTCAAATCCATCAAATGATATGGAACCAACTATGGTATTGTACAGGTACAAGTGTATGTTATGTAGTGAATGCAAAATGTTGTTTTCCTGCATATCTCAAATGAAAAGTAGGATAAAAGCAGACAGCTTACTTGATTATAAATGGTATCAGAAACTGAATATGTTCTTGTCATAACTTTATTCTTGTACCTATCTGACAGTCTCTGATACTGCTATAAGTCTATGAAACATTTCTAAATTTTTCATCAGAATGACTTCAGAATTTCTCGGTACACATATATCCAATGTGAAATCCCCACATCTCCTGTATGTAGTTTTAGGGGTTGAAAAGAAGAGAAATCATAACAACCTTAATTTTATTAAGAATTTTAATCCAGCTTATTCGCCATCTGCATTACCTCAAGTAAACCTTCAGTAAGATTGATTTTTTGATATGTTTATAGAGATATTTTTATTTTACAGACCCACCTACTACCCCTGTGTCAGTGAGTGTAAGCCCTAC